TTAGCACGAAAAGGGATCGCGCTAAAGCACGGCAAGACCTGAAGCACGTGTGAGTACGAGCAGGAAGCGCCATTACGCGTACACGTGGCGTCCAGTACGGTGTTTCGAGAGCGTCCAAAAAGGAGCCGGTCTACCGGGATACAAACTACATCATCTCTCGAGCAATTTGATACGGGGGAGATCGTTCGCTACCAAGCCGGTACCTTGGGTACGGAATTTCACCCTACGGGAAACTCGGATCGCCCAGGATACCTTGTCCGTTACATTCTACGAAGTTCGAGAAGTCGGGCCACTGTCGCTGGTTACGAAGGTCACCTTGAACCATGGCGGCCGTTGTATTACATGGCAATTTCAGTATTGAAATTTTCGACCCGACCACGACGGAGTGGGCGAGGTGGCTTCAGCGTTTTCAAGCCGCAGTAAAAATTTTTAAAGTGCCTACGGAGCAACAAGTTCTGTACTTGCTACATTTCATTGGGACGTCGGCTTTCGATGTCATCTGTGATAAATTGGCGCCGGCGGACCCGTACACTGCGACCTTCGATACATTAGTGACGAGCTTAGCGGAATTCTACGCGCCTGAGCCTCTAGAGATCGCCGAAAATTTTCGTTTCCACCAACGGAAACAAAAGGACGGCGAAAGTGTTAAAGACTACGTGGCCGCGCTACATAAATTAAGCGCGCGCTGCAATTTCGGGGCGTATCTGAAAACGGCTTTACGAAATCAGTTCGTTTTCGGTTTGGCGAGCAGCCGGGCACAATCAAGATTACTGGAAATAAAAGACTTAACGTTCAAGAAGGCGATCCAAGTGGCTACCTCGATGGAGCTATCGTAGAAGGACACTCTGCAATTACAAAATGGATCGACGAGCGTCGAATACATTGGCTCCAAGGATAAGAAGACGGAGAAGAAAACGCAGCGGAAACGGAAACCTCCCGCGAAATTCTCAAAAGGAAAGGGCGAATCAGTTAATGGCGGTAAACCTAACGCGAATACAAACGCAAATTCTAATATTTCTTGTTTCAGATGTGGCGGTAGCCATTTAGCTACAAAATGTACTCTAGATAGAAGCGTTAAATGTCTTAATTGCGGGACACCAGGCCACCTGCGCAAAGTGTGTATGGCGGCGAAACGCGCACCGGCCAATCAAGTAGAGGAAATATTAGTCGTAGAGCACTCGGAGTTCCGAGAAAAGTTTTTCGAGACAATCACCGTTGAGGGCAAACCCCTGCGATTCGAAGTAGATAGCGGAGCTGCAGTAACCATCGTGAGTACACATACATTACGGGAGCTGTCTTTATTAAAACGGTTACAACGACTGCGTTACAATTAATTACATTTTGCAAAACGCCGATTAAGATTGTGGGCGTGGTACCCGTGATGGTTAGCGGGCGAGGAACTAAAATCAAATTAAATTTGTACGTTTCGAATATCGAGCGCGAACCATTGTTAGGCCGTGAGTGGATTCAGCAATTGCACATACGTCTAACGGATACCGTTAATACAATAAATACGTCACGTAGCGATACGGAATACAAAATTACGGAGTTATTACAACAATATCGGAATAAATTAGATCCTCATTCGACAAAAATTAGAGGCTTACAAGCAAAGCTCACTCTGAAAGAAAACGCTAAACCGGTGTTTCTCAAAGCCCGTACCGTTCCTTTCAAATTGTTACCTTTGGTCGACCAGGAATTACAAGCGCTTGTTTCGAAAGGCGTCCTTGAGAAAGTAAACACGTCGAGATGGGCTACTCCCATTGTGCCTGTGTTGAAAAAAGACAATACGGTACGCATATGCGGGGACTTTAGCGTCACGATCAATCCCTGTTTACTAATAGACGAGCATCCGTTGCCTACAACGGATACACTATTCGCGAATATGGCAGGCGGAGAGAAGTTCTCCAAGATAGACCTGCAACAAGCGTATTTGCAATTAAAAGTTCGGGAAGAGGATCGGGAATTACTCACCCTCAATACGCATCGAGGCCTTTTTCGAAGCACACGTTTAATGTACGGAAGCGCATCAGCGCCGGCCATTTGGCAACGTGAAATGGAAAACTTGTTGCAGGGTATCGAGGGGATAACGGTATTTCTAGATGACATTCGAGTCACGGGACCTACCAAGGAAATTCATTTACAACGCCTGAAACAAGTATGCAACGCCTGGGTGACGCGAATATTAGGATAAACGAGAGCAAAAGCGAGTTCCTACAGGATAGCATACATTATTGCGGATATCGAATTGATCGATCGGGAATACATAAAACTACCGATAAAATGCAGGCCATTGATCTCATGCCTAGGCCGAAGGACGTTACAGAATTGCGATCATTTTTAGGAATGGTAAATTACTACGGGCGGTTCATTAGGAACCTAAGTACGATGCTCACGCCGTTACATGAGTTGCTACAAAAGGGAGTTAATTTCAAATGGACTCACAAATGTGAGGAAGCTTTTGAGCGCGCAAAAAAGAGTTTCAAAAGTGACACAGTTTTAGCTCACTTTGATCCGAAGCTACCGTTAATCTTAGCTACAGATGCTAGTCCGTACGGAGTAGGGGCGGTGCTATCGCACCGTTACCCCGATGGCACCGAACGCGTACTGCAATACGCATCGCAGTTTCTTTCTAAAACTCAATAACGTTACGCTCAAATCGATAAAGAAGCTTACGCTATAATTTTTGGAGTAAAGAAGTTCCATCAGTACCTTTACGGTAACAAGTTTACATTATACACGGATCATAAACCGTTAGTACAGATTTTCGCGCCGTCAAAAGCCTTACCCGCGTACTCGGCTATGCGAATGCAACATTACGCAATATTCTTACAAGGGTTCTCATTTGAAATTAAATACAAAAGCTCTAAACAGAATGCAAATGCGGATTGTCTATCACGATTACCAATGAGCACAACTACAACTGCGGAACGTGATGTAGTAGATATTTACGAGATAGGAATGTTACACGAAATGCCCGTATCCGCGGATAAAATTGCTTGTGCTACAGAAAAAGATGTGCAATTGAAGAGTCTCCTAACGGCCATACGCGAAAAGAAAGAGATACCCGTACAAATGCGTTTCAATATAAATCAAGCAGCATATAGTGTACAACAGGGCGTGCTTTTGTGCAATGGAAAGATAGTAATTCCTAGTAAACTGCGCGACCGAATCCTCCGGGAATTACATAAAAATCATTTCGGGGTAGTTAAAATGAAAGCGTTAGCTAGGAGTTTGTACTGGTGGCCTGGTATAGACAAAGCGATAGAGAATTTAGCTAAGAATTGCGATATATGTAATACCGTGCGTAATAACCCACCGAAGGCGGAAATACACGAGTGGGACCGGCCGGGGCACCTTTCGAGCGTGTCCACGTGGATTATGCAGGGCCGTACATGAACATGTATTTTTTTGTATTTGTAGACGCATTTTCGAAATGGCCTTTTGTGCGAATAGTCAAAAACATAACCGCGGAAACTACGATTAAAATATGTAAGGAGATTTTCACGGATTACGGTATTCCAAAAACTATGGTCATGGATAATGGCCGTAATTTTCGTTCTGCAGATTTTACACAATTCTTAGAATCTCAGGGGATCACCCCAAAGTTTACAGCTCCGTACCACCCAGCAACAAATGGGCAAGCGGAGAGATTTGTACAAACGTTGAAAAACTCCTTAAAAAAAATACTTACGGATCCCAATAGTAAGGGAACAACCTTAGAAAACGCACTACGTAACTTCTTAGTACAATACAGAACCACTCCACATTGTGTTACGGGAGTGACTCCGTTTGAGAGAATGTTTAAGCGAAAAATGCGTACAGAATTTACTTTGTGTATACCTGAGCCTCCCAAGAAAAGCGCTAACATTAACATTAATAAAAGATCGCGTGAATTTACGGTGGGAGAGAGTGTGATATGCCGTAACTATAATAGTAAAATTAAATGAAAATTTGGAAAAATTATACAACGGTTAGGTAAATTACATTATAAGATTAAATTGGAAGATGGCAGGACCTGGGAGCGTCACGTCGACCAGATCCGCAAGAGGGGAGAGCAAAGAAGCCGACACATAGAACCATACACGGGAGTTTACGATTACGAACCAGAGGCGAAGGAAGAGCCAGCTGCACCGAGGGATGCAGCGGAACCAAATTGCGCTCAACGCGACCAAGAAGAAGAGCAAGGACCGGAAGCCTTGCAACCGACTCAGGCGAGGGAGGCAAGAGCCCCGGACCCGGGACAGCGAAGAGACCGACCCGTCCGAAGTAAGAGACAGCCAGAAAGATACGTGGATCCCGGAGTTGGTCGTCGATAGGCAGTCGTTTTCTCTTTCG